ATATCAGGTAGGCAATCTACCTACGGTGGATTGCTGACACAACGATGAGAGACAGAAAGCAAAAATATAGTATTTTTCGAAAAGCAAAAACAGCAAATGTAATATAGCGGGGTCACTAGTTAGGACAGTTAAAATCGAAAACAACCCTTGATATGTTATGTAAAACCACATTAGGTGATCTCTAGGTAACGACAAATTTCGGGAAAAGTCTGCTTTACTTGACATCCCGCGGAAGTAGAAAATAGAAAAAGTCAACCAGCAGATTTGAGCAGTAATCACTGTAATATCAAAAACTATGATTAAAATATTATTGAATAATAGGGAAGTAACATTACGTAGGTATACAATAATTTGTATAATATTTAGCTGATTGGTGAGTACAGATAGTGAACGATAATTTGTTAGATTGTACTAAGACGGAGACAAAACATTTTACTCAATATTACATTACATAAAAATACTAAAGAAAAAAAAGACTATACAATTTTTCTGGTTGTTTAGAATTGAAGTACCTACATAATGTTATTATGAATAAACCACAGTAAAACATTTTTTTAGAAAATAAAAAGATACACATACATTTTGCATGTTGATTCTGTTAATTTACCTATCAGGTATATTAAGTGGAAGTAAATTATAAGCTTTTATTTAAGTCTAAAAACGCATTATTAAATATTATTGAATAGGTAATAACCTTTCTTATTAAATATAAACATCGTAACATTAGTAATTTAAATTATTCACTTTTACTGGTTTATATACAAGTACTTGGAGTTTGGATTATTATAAATGTGTAAACATAAACTGTTCAAAAATAAAAATAAATTTGATATCGATGTATATACACTACGAATAAAGTTTTATAAATTTCATATCTCGCCAAACGTGTAGTTATGTTAAAAAAAATAGTAATACATAATAATATTATGTTGGCTAAAATTAAATATTTGGTAAATTGGTAAGTGGGCCGGTATACTTTGTATTTTCCCGGGCTGAAATCTCGCCCCAATCCGCCCCTGTAGTAGACCGAATAATATGATAGAAAGCCGCTAACAGTACATAAGATTGCAACACATTATTGCTCGTAGATTGGACCATATATTTACTATTTGATATCTTAAAATAAATAATTTTCTTACGTTATATTGTGAATTTGAAATCGTAGTATTATAGTATCATTTAGATAATATTTTTATACCTACAGACAGGTTACAGGTATATAGTATATTACAGTCAAAATATTCATTGGCCATTTAAAAAAATATTAGAATTGCTAATTCACATGAATAAGTCAAAAGATAAAAACATAATATAATTAACAAATGACTTTAAATTATACATTGACACATTGTGATATTAGGAAAATATTACGTGTTTGAAATTTTGGATCTTTAGAAAATTAAAATTAAAATTCTAAGTTATTTATTTATTTAAAATATCATTACCAAAGGTACCTTATACATTATTTTTAATTAAAGGCTATATAATTAAATACTTATCAACAATTAGGTAATATTAATAATAATATAAAATTATGAAACGAATAACAATTGAATCAGATATTTATTTTAGTCTTTACTAAAAAGACTTAAAACCTTGTAACTTGTGACAGTTGTCTTCCGGTCTACTTTAATGAATATTTTACAATAACTTACTATATTTTTCATAAGAATGATGTTTGTGAAAGTTTATAATGAAGTGATAATTTTTCCATTCGATTTAATTTGGTATTGGACACTGAGTGGGTTTCAGCGAAATTAATCAAACAATAAAAGTACCTCAAACACTATGAGTAATTTGTATAGTAGACTTAGTTAAAACCATTATAGCTTCATAGGTACATAATATAGTCAATATAGCTCAACAATTATAATTTAATACTTATAGCATACGGATAATTTAACATTATTATGCTTATTTACATACTAATAGTGAAACATAATAATAATTAAATAATTATAATAAAATATCGGAGGTCAATTAAAAGTGTACATTAAGGTAAATAGAAATTTCTGTGAGTTATGACATAATCCTCGATCACTTAAATAGTTAAACCAGCAAATATTTCAAAATAATGTAACATACTTGAAATTAGTTTATTATTTTAGTATAGGATGACCAATAGGTGCTTACTGATCTGCTTACTGTTTAAAATGAGGTGGTCCTGTTTTTGAGCATCATATCATCTTTTCAGGACAAACTTCAAACAGGATACTTTTTACCCCGTTTATAGAAAATAATCCAGTTTTAATGCGTTATCTTAATTGTATAGTTATTCGTGGGTAAAAGAAAAAAACTTTTACATGAAGTAAATACAAAGCCACTTTTCCAGAGTTAAATATTAAATCATTGAAACCAAAGTTAATATAATATTTTATGAACAACTGTGCAAACACTTGCACAACGAACGTTAACAATTGTGAGCAATGAGCACGAAACAAATCGTTATGACGTCCTATCGTATTGACGTATTCTACAGTGTAATTATGAATCCACACGATCCAACAACTCACCTTAATTACCAATGGGAAAACATTATCTCAAAATTTTCTTTAAAATGTCAAACAATTTTTGGAAGCTGCTGTATTTAGAATCAAACGAAAATTGTAAGTACTTGTTTTTAGATTCAGAGCAGAGCAATAAATGGAGTAAGTAGTCAAAATACTTAGATTCTCAATAACTTTTCTGGTGGAAAAATGAATGTAGTTGGTACTTAGGAGGGTGTTCAAATTAAAAAAAAAATCCTAGTAGGTACTTATCTTAATAATTGAAAAAAACTTACTAAAAATAAGGAAACCACGAGAATTATAACCCAACACCGGTTTTTGACAAAATCGATTTAATTATTTGCTTATAATTTAAAAATGAATAACCGTAGATACTTGAACTTTTCACAAAATATTTTTATTAAAATTTGATTTTCATGATATATATATATAATTTTTTTTTATTAATTAACCCTCGGCAACTTAAGCCATTGGGTGGTTTTTAACTGTGGGGGAGGGTACTGTAAGGTGTAAACACTTGTGTGTTGTTTTTGGCAGATTTTCAAGTGGGCACCCTTACGTATCTGCCCTGCCTGGATTGGGGATGGCAGCACTTGTTCTCCGGACACCGTGACTTGCCCGAAGAAAAATGCCACCCGAGGCCGAGGAATCGAACCGACTCCTTACTCCGTCCCCCCATGATATATTATTACACGGTTAAAGTGCCTTTCAGTGATTTACCCTATAACCCCAGGTACACTCAACACCTACTACAACTACACGTCTACACATCACAGTGGTTACATACTTATCCTATTTTATATATGAATATTGTCACCCTATAATATTAGTATATTATCAAATAAATGTAAATCGTATACCTACTAACAATATTTATTTTCTTTAAGGCATTTTTATTCGGGACACTTTGCACCATAAAAATATTCATAATTGGGTAGTTTAAACGAATTTCTTTTAACTCAATTATCGATAAAATAAATATCTATACAATAATTATAGAACTGTTAACATAGAACTAAATCATATGAACACGTTTTTATATACAAATGTATAACTTTGTTGTTGAATTGTTATTTTTTATCCTTTCAGTATGACTTTTACACTATAAAATATCGTATTACGTAATGCTATCTAGCGGTTATTTCATGCACTTAATTTTTACAAATAATGTTAAATATAAATCAAGTTCCTAGATTTTCATCACGAAGCAATTTTTAGCATTCGACAATAATTATTATCAACTTGGTTTCATTTGTAACATTAATATATTTTTTTTTCAGTTATTTAGTATCTAATTATATATTCAGCCTATTTAGGTATACTCTAAAAGGGTGTCTATCATATTATTTTATTAAAATGTACATAAGTACACTATAGTATAAATATTTTATTATGAAACAAGCATAGATTTTTCAAACTAAATGTTATTTTTAAGTCAGTTTAAATGTTATATTTGACAAAAAAAACAATTGAAATTTGTAAACGTAATTTTAACCGAAAGCTATGATCAAAAATAATTAAATACCGCAAAACATATATTATTATATTATATAATAAAACAAAACAAAAAACGTAATTTATAGAATAGAATAATTCGTCAAACGGATAATAACTCAAAACGAAATAATTTTAAAATCCATTAATCCATTCAAAGTCATATTGGTTTCGTAGAAATATTTATTTCATGCATACGGACATTAGAATTGGTTATATTATTATATTCTGTATCCGGGCCACATTAGCTGACCGCATTAGTTATTAATAATACATTTAATAGGTATTAACACTATTCTAAATAACGATAAACGCAAAACTTGTGTAACGTTTTAATTCTCAATAACGATAAACGTAAAACTTGTGTAACTTTTTATTTCTAAATAATGATAAACTCAAAAATTGTGTTACGTTTTAATTGTAAATAACATAAAACAGAATTTTTTTAAAATGCAAGCCCTTGTTTAAACTTTAAATTGTACCTCACTTTCTGCTAATTGCTATCGATATGTATATCTTTCATTATCTACCGATAATCTCAAATACTTGTGTTCGTCAGACGGTGATATTACCTGGCAGTTAGCCCTGACGAATCGACTTAATTTGACTCGGGAGGGTTATAGGAGTTAAAAAAAATTTGAAAATACAAATACAAATAAATAATAATACGTCATTCAGTTAATTATTCAGTCAAATTTTCGAGATATTTCAATTAAATATTTCACTTGTGTAAGGCGCATGCACAGCTAAACCTACAAATAGTACCTACTTTTTTAAATTTTTTTAATAACTAAATATTAAAATATATAGACAAAATTAAACAAAACTGGACAAATCTCTAATTTAATGTCTTAAAAAATGTAAATTTACTCAAATATTTAATGATAATGATCAATGCTCATAATCATAATAATATTGAAATTATATTATGTACTGTTTATTATATTATGTATATTTATAGTGATATTTTTTTTTTTTTTTTTAGACAAAGATCCAAAGATGTTTAGTAACTGCAACATGAGAAAGTAAGTAGTCAGATAAAATCAATACAATAATGACTAATAATAAATTGTATATAATATGCTATTGTTTTAATTCCTGCATAATATGTACTTATACAATTTTAGATCTATTAAATAGTCAGATAATTATTTATAATAGGTTGTATCTCCTTAATGTTTTACAGCCTTTGTTATTTATAGTACATAATATATTTAATACATAACACATTATTACAAGTTACAACACATGTTCGAAAATTTCTAATAATTTTAAGTATGCCATACAGTTAATATAAATGTAATTTTGTTTTAAAACCCATATTACTTATTTCATACTTAGTTCATACCACACAGCGCAGTGTCGTGTCGTGTTTTTTACGATCATAATATTATTATGAGTTCGCACCATGCGTTTTCTATGTTTATAGTAAAATATAATACCTACTAATGATATTAAAGTTACTGTCAATGATATAAATATTAACTAATATTGAATTTTAATTTGTTATCTTTAATATATCTGTGGAGATGTTATACAAATAAAAGTCACCACACAATCATAAGTTGAATATTATATTCAACTCTGCGGTACCATATTAGTATGTTATATTATATTTAAACGTGGTTGAGCTACTTAGAAAAAATTATTTTACACGATGCTACAGAACACGATGTATAGTGAACCTCTGTGAATTTTTATTTATTGCATAATATTATAATAGGTATACACTCTATAACTCAATTTCCTACATTACTCGGTACCATATACATAGGTAATGCTTTAGAATTCTGTCTGTGGAAGATTAGCTATCGGATGGTCTACTTTGATTTCCTGTAAACATAATTAAAAATATGTATGGGGTAGGTACTGAGTAATATTTGTAATTTAATTATACAGGATATCCTGTTTTCGTGGACACTCGTCGAGTTGAATAGTCACATTTTTTATTTTTTATTTAAAAAAAAAATAGTGTCTACTTTATAATTAATATTGAACACAACATTAGTTGCAGTATTTTCTTAGAAGCATATTTTTTAGATGAACTTGACGAAAAATTAATTTTCTATTATAAAGTTGTATATAAGAGAAGTCAGGTTATGAAAAACAAATATATTTTTCTAAATATATATTATAATTACTATAGGTACTGTATGTATAGTATGTGTATAATATTTTATATTATTTTATTTACCTAACCGATTTGGAGAATAATTACGTTTTAAACTATCTTTAGTCTATTATCCTCTTAAAGTTTTCAAACGATTATTTAAAATTAAACAAATTATAAAAATTATAGAAGCACTATTATAGTGTCCACCACTTAACACTGTAAAAACAGCAATACAGAATAATGGGCAGCCTACACACATAAGAATTTTTCATTAGTAAAATCATTTGCTTATAGTGGAACGTTTTGTCTGTAAAATAAGATATTCATATTTTGGATAACAATTTTAAACAAATATTTATGTAAAATGGCCCACAATAATTATTGCAAATTGTATTGTTTAAGGGCGTGTGGCACGACGGTGGGCTTTTTCGGCATCGCATTCGTCATAATTTTCATACTTATACCTGCTATTTGGCGTTATTCACCTTCAATTCAAAAGAGTATGATATTCCTGAACCATGGTAATTATGAAAAAAAAATTATTATTTAAATTTTAAATACAGTGGTACCATGATTATATGAAGTCTCGTGGGGAACAAAAAAAAAAATCGTAATATACAGAGGAATTCGTTAAATATAATTAAAGCTAATTTAAGCATAAGTAACAAATAACAATGATGGCCATGGTTCTCAAAAATAATTCGTTAAACAGAAAATTTCGTTAAATGGAAGTTTCACTGCACATTGTTTTAATAGCATTATAATTTTAAAATACATCAACATTGTACAATTGAAGGCACTGGGTAGGTACAGTATGTGGAATATAACTAAATATTTAATAATAAAATAATATTACAAACATTTTTTAATTATTATTTTTACTTAAAAAAAAAATATACATACTCACTTGTGAAATAACAAGGGAATCGGAGTTATATTTGATTTTTGGACTCAATGAAAACAATGTTCTATATTCGTTGAATATAAACGAGGATGTCCGTCAGGAACTAGGACTGGATAGAACAATATGATGCGACCGGTTTAAATTGAAAAATCAATATATTATTAATAAAATAAAAAAAAAAATAATATGACTAAAATATATACTAATATTATAATTTTCAATACTGATACAATAAACAAAATCAAATATCGCACGATGGTTATGCTATCTAGTGCCTTCAATTAACACAATAAGCAAATGGTGTTTAAACCATTATTTTCATTATTATTTTACAACAAACGGACAGCATGCATTGTATTACTATATTATTGTTATCTCTTATTTTATATTATAGTTCATTATATAAATTATTACCTACGTTGGTAGGTATACAATATGCATGCTTACATAAATTATATTATTATATTATTCTTTGCTAAGTCACTATACGTGAATTGCAATATTATAGTTTTTTAATACTCATCGCGGGCACCTTACTTAATTTTCTTTTATTTTAGACCATATGCCTGAGATACAGAATTATAGTCATCCGGAAGTTTATGGCTTGGATGGAACGAGAAATTTTTACATTGATACAAAAGACAATGTAACATTAGGAGTGTGGTAAGTAATTATTTAATAACCAAAAAATAATGAAAACGAATAACTATTAGGTAACATTATGATTACAGCAGGTCATTTATACGTCAACTAAGTCAGAAATGCAATGGTTAAACTAATTGTAAGCTTATTACTATTCAAATATGCATAATTTTGAATTTCTGAACTCTTCAAAATTATATAAATAAACTAGTAAATTTCGATGTAAGTGTTAATATTTCAATCTTGAAAATGGAGTACCAAATATTATAATAAAATATGATTTGACCTAAATTTTATTTGCTGATTTCATCGCGATTACAAAATAATAATTATTATGCTATATTCACTTTAAATATTATCGAATGGAAACTCCGTTGTGTTCAATTTAAACTCTCGACGATTTTTTTCTGTTAATTATTTTAATTCAGAACAACATGCCTAGGAATATAAAATGAACATACACAATTGCTGATTTTTTGTAACTCGTAAAACAAATTCATTTGGTTTTTCGAAAATAAACATTTGCACGAAACAATCTTAAATTAATTCACAGCCAATGATACTTAGTCGTCAGAATATTAATATTTTACTAATAAAATATTACAGGCATCTATTACCAAGTAATTTGTTTGTAAAATACGGAGCAAACGAATCGAATTACGAACTACTTTTGAGTCACGGGGAACCGATTATCATATACATGCATGGTAACTCCGGTGCTCGGTCGAACAATCAACGGATAGAATTGTATCGCAAGCTCCGGGATATCAACTGTCACGTGATAGCCGTAGACTACAGAAGTACAGATTATTAATTACTTTTATATAATTCCGTCGAATTTTTTAGTTTTAATGAGAACCTTTTCGTTTCAGGTTATGCCGATTCTACAGATGTCGAAATCGACGAGACCGGCTTAGTGTCGGATGTGATGGAGACATTTAAATGGGTTTACATACGCGCACATGGAGCACCGATCTTTGGTTGGGGCCACTCTCTGGGCACTGGGTAATATACCTACGTTTTACCTATATCCAAATTATTATGTAAAAAATTAAAAACAATAATATAAGGAATGAAAATATTATACAATAATAACATTAAACATAATATGCGATGGGCGGACGTGAATTAATAAATAATTGTCACCTTGGAATAATTATGGAGTCGTGTTAGCATGCACGCACGTAACTACAATATAATATAGTGCACGCTAAAGCTCGATCATATGAATAACATAAATTAAATAGGAAGAGATCTTAAAAAACCTCTATATGCAAGGAATTATTTAACTAATATTATATGTACACAGACTTAGTATTTAAAAAACAATTTTTTTTTTTTCGGAAAAACTAGTAAATATTTTATAGTTGCGCGACATGTAACTGGCACTCCTCATCCATCGTTATTTAAATTTATCAATTCTAAAGATGAGATAGATAATATTATTGTAAAATCAATTTTAAAACTCATTATTTTTATATTGTAATCAAATAATTAAAATTAATATTTATTATCAATTTTAGATTCTGAGTATAGTGATTAAGGTAACTTACAAGTTACTTACAATGATGTGTGTTGTGTATATGTGTGTCTGTATGTCTGACGTCATGTTTAGGATCAATAAAACCTCTGGTATAAAATTAAAGACTTTTTAAAATATCCAGGAATAACGAAAAAAAACTAGAATACGGAAAACGGGAATGTTAATGCAAAATCAGATTTCAGCAAAATGTATTTTGTATTTTTGCTGTAATTCAATTATATATAATAGTGGTGACTTGAAATGATTTTCAATTTTGGTACATTTTGTGCCATTTATACTCTACAGACATGAAATGTTAAACTTTTTTTAAATGTATGTCTTTAGTATTTTTTGATCAATAAGTTTGACAGTTTGAATAGGGTTCTTCTGTTCCTAATAGTTGCTCTCTAACCAGGGCTTGCAAATGTTATGATAACATTATGTTTATAACGTTATATTTGACAAAAAACGATTGAAATTTGTAAACATAATATTATAACGGAAAGCGATAATCAAAAAAAAATTAAATACCTCAAAACAAAACATAACGGTTAACAAAATATGTTGTATGTCATTAAACAAAACATAATGCAAAACGTAAATTATAAAATATCATTAAACAAAAAATAACGAAAAACGTACTTTATAGCTAATATTATGAAAGAAAAATAATATTTTAAAATGTATTTATTTAAAATGTCTGTTAATTTCGTAGAAACATTTATTTCATGCAATCAATCTAAGAATTGATTATTTTTATTATTTTTTTTTAATTTGAATACTATTACTTACCACTTAAAAGTTAAAACTAATAATAATTACTCTGTACTATTGACAAAAGCTTCTTTTTTTTTGCTGGATAATTTAGTTCACATTTTCCAATCAATTAATTTAAACTGAATATATTATTATTCAAAATAAATTGGGTACATTAATAAAAAATAACAATCGGCATACTTAAATGATTCAACGATTATGACTAATAGGATTAGGTGTTTACATAAGGTTCAAAATTTAAATAGACAGTTTTACCGTTTATGTGTACAATGAACTTCAATAAACTGCATATTTTATGAACAACTATATTATTATAATATACTAGCATTCAGTTCAATAAATTACTAGGACTAGAGGTTTATCAAAGTTTTGACTAAGTACTACACGAATTCATGTTAAACACATTATAGCAGTAACTATATTAAAACAGGTAATAAATTATTTAATGTTTAACGACATTTACAGTTTTTTTTAAACATTTTTTTAACATTAACATTTTAATAACTTTTTATGTGACTATAATTATTATTTGCTAACTCTTTAAAATGTATACCTACCTATTAAATTATTAGCCATGTGGTGCACTTAACACAAACGCTTATTTTGGAGACATACCACAACAGATTTTTAAAGCTGAGTTGAAAGTGAAAGTTTTTACTTTACAACTGTGTATAATTTCCATCCAAACTTTTTGAGAAAAGCTTTAAATATTTCATACATTAGCTTATCAATATAATAAAGTTGATCTATAAAGTTTCATTTAGAAATAAAAAAACTAATGGAAATCAATTATTTTTATTATAATATTAGATGTACCCTGAACTTTACTTAGGATCATTCGTAAGCTAATAATCACATAAATATGTTGAATAACAGTATTAAACAGCTAATTCGTGATTTTATTTTCATTTTATTGGATTCCACCTAGCTGTGTGGCTTATCCCAGTAACCTATCATTATGTAATTTCCATTGTTGATATTTATGAGAAACGCGTATTAGTTAATATTAAAGTGGATCCATCAATTTATCATTGCACATTATTATTATTTATTTAAAGTACATATATGTACATATATTATAATATTTTTAAGTATTCAAATAAATTGTATTATATGGCGTCTAATATATTGGTTCTTTAGTAGACATGTGGTTTGAAAATGTATTCGTATAGGTAGGTATTTTAAAACAATAAAAAATTAAATTGTATGCACTATGCATTTTATATAAACAGTAACAACCCATAATTGGGTACTTGATTAATGTTAATTGGTATGACCGAATTAAATGTCTTATAACTTTCGTTATGTCTATAGGGATAGTTTATATTATGGACAACACAATTCGTCTCAATAATAAACAAATGCAACAAAAATCGTAATAATTTATTAAACAATTTCCTGTGCCCAAGGAATAGACATTTCAAAGGATTTATTAGGCTGTCTAATAATTCAATAACCATGTTTCATTCACTTTTTAGAATTGGAGCACACGCGTTTTCGTTATTGGAAAAAGAAAACATCTATCCCCATGGACTTATTTTAGAAGCTCCATTCAATAAAATGAGTGAAGCAATTAGAGAGTATTCAACTACTAAGGTGATTTTAATACACACATATTTATGAATAATTACCATTCTTAGGCCAATCCATTTACCAAATAAATAGAACCATATTTTGTTCATCCATTATATTTTTAACTATTAAACTGTATTATTTAATGAGGAATTACGTGTTTTCCTTAGGTTCTCCGCTATTTCCCTTGGTTTGATTTTTTCATTATTGATTCAGTCACTGAAAATGGAATTGTTTTTGATACAGAACAAAACTTAAAAAACGCGAAAGTTCCAGTGCTGATATTACATGCTCGAGATGATATTATAATACCATACCAGCTCAGTGAAAACGTAAGTGTAAAAATATTATTATGTTTGAATGTTTAACAATATACTTTAATGTATACATATATACATGATACATGGATTTAATATAAAATGTGGACCTTGTGTTTTTGTAATGATTATGAAATTTTAATATTATCAAAACATAATTTATTTATAATATACATATTTTGTTATTTTAAATAAGAAAATATCTTAAATTAGAAAAAACTGCACATATTGAATTTTTTGTTAAACGGTTTTCTAAATAAGTACTCTAGTTTTTAATTTTTCTCAGAAAATGCTCTATACCAGCTTGAAAACTGGTTTGACAAAAAATAATTTAACTTCACGTTGTTGTACGTAATCCATGTCAATATCCAACGGGTTCGATCACTTTGATGTAAATAAAATAATATTTAGGTTTACTCTGAGCACGTCATGTTTCATGGTCAAAAAGTTCGGGCTTTTAGAATTTTGTTAATTTTTTCAAAAAAACGAAATATTAACCTAATCTAATACGGAGGTACCTTCTAATTATGAGATAAACTAAAATTAAATACAACTCCCAACTGTATACGATCTGATGTCAGTAATATAGAAATATTCAAAGTTCATTACCAGACATTACCTATTAATATACGGTCAAAAGAACATGTGCGTGATCGTAAAAAAACAATCATTGTTATTTTTAAATTGTGTTTCTAATAATTGCTTCTCGATAATCGAAATTGATAGTTATGATATTTTCATTGTGACTGGTGATATTACTAGTTGAATATGATTTTCACCATACTGTGTGTAAAATAAAAAGACCATGTGCGTGAGAATATCATGAATATTTTAAATTCATGTACTCTAGGGTGAAAATCATAGGGGGTGTACAGCACTGGGACCCACCGTGTCAACAAATTTTTTTTTGTTTTTCATTTGTCCTTTAATTTGATTCATAATAATTGTATTATTATCTTGTATTTAATTTCATATAAATAAAATGTAAAAGCCTTGTCCATTCTGACTTGGAATTGTTTATCTAAATACTGGGAAAATTACTCAGTCTAGAGTGACATAAATAAATTTGTTGTTGGTTTCGATGAGGAAATTATATTTTATCTATTGAAATGCAATACATCCACCAATAGTATCCTATACAAAGAGTAATGAATGAGCAAGGTGGGAAATCACTACATCCTTTTTTATGTATCTATTAACTTTATGATGCTCAAAAAAGAGGCGCCCATACACATTTGTTTGCATTTGGGTCATTGGATCTCTGGGTACACTGGGTATACTTGTTAATTGTAACAAACACTTTTAACGTTATTCTTCAATGAAGTCAACAGAAATGTTTAAGCCATGTCCCCTGTCTATGAGTTATAGAGTCATAGGATCCTATAGCATCGCTAACATACGAGGTTTATTGTTTTGAAGAATAAAAATGTTTTTATAACACCAAAAAGTTTGAAATATTTATCACTAGATGGTGTATTTTTATCTGAATTTAGAAATATTAAAATGTCATTTTGCTATTTTCTGCACATAGGAGGTTTTTCACGCCAGGCATCGAAATATTGTTTATGAATGAAAATATTTTGTGTTTGGTCATCACCTTTGCTTTTACATGAGGATGTTCATTCTATATTTTTCAATAGCCATTACCTATGTTGGTAGATAACTACATAGTATATACATTTAAAAAAAATCAAACATAAACCTGACTTGCATTATTTTCCACCGTCTACGACTCAAGTAGTAAATATTTCTGCTTACTTAATCGGTTTACTGGTCGTAGTTTATAGATGGACTTGACATTATTGGTTTTTATACTGACGTCTTACTTTATTTTTGACTTGGGTGATTTTATAATATTTTGTTTTGCAATTACTTTTTTACACGTTTCATCTACACAATTTATACTATAAATACATTACATTAGAAATACTGAAATTTCTAAAAACAAATAATTTTATCGTATTGTCAATTTAAGAATGTAATGTACAATAATAAAGTGTAGACATGTTAACTAATGGCCTTTGCCACCGAGTGTATAGTATGTGATCGATAAAAAAAAATTAGATTACAATTTAAAATTTATGTAGTTCTTATGGAACTTCACAATAATTTGTTCACTTTTATACTATCATGATTATTTACACTCATAGATTTGTCATCCAAGTTAATAATTAATAATAATTATATATATCAGTGATCATTTCTAAAAAGAAATTCATGAAAATTCAGGTCTTTTATTACAAATGGGTTTAAAAAAAAATTATTTATTTATTTTATTTCTATTTCCATTCCCTACAACTTACATCTCTACAAATTCATTATAATCAACTTCTGTTATTCTTGTATTTTCCTCCAGATTTCATTGTCATATTTTCTTAATAATAATGACACATTGTCAGTGTTGAAAGATATCTCGATAAAATTATTTCTATAATTATCTCATCTAGATAAATGTCATGGTTATCTGTGATAATTTAAATAATATAAGAATAAGAATATTTTTGAATACTGAAATAGCCAATAATTTACGAGAACCGAGTAGTGATTCCAAATTCCGATGTTATTATAGTTAAAAAAGATATGTTTACTTAAATATTGTAATTTTAATTTTATTCAAGTTGTATTAAAAATTAAAATTGTACATTACTTTAGTTGAGAAATGACATTAAGGATTTAATTATTAATTAATAAATATTACCTAATTAGGAATTACTAATAAATTAAATTATTTATAATATAATTTAAAAACAAATTATCTATTTTTTTATCTAGATAAATGTATGTGTATTTTTATCTTATCTAGATAAATTTTGGATGAATTATCTGTTATCTTATCCCGACAACTTTTTGGTTATCTTTTCCCAACACTGCATATTATATGAATAAGATAAATTAGAGCCACTTTGTTTCCTATACTATGTATTAGAATAAAATAGTCATTAAATAGGGCATTAAAATATAAAAGCGTTTGAAGTAACATTGCATTTTCACTGAATTTCTCAAGTAGCTATTTTCTTATTTTGTTTTAGTTCAATAATGAATAAATCTAGATAAATAAAATTTTTGCTGAATGTTTATATTTTCATTTTCTATACACAGGCAAGTTTTTTTTTACAATCATTTTAACTTCAAATTTTTTCGAAATATATCAAATTGAAAATTTACTATTTAAATTTATTATTTAGCAGTTAAAAATGTATAAAATGTTCAACTTTTACAGCTAAGGATTAAAAATATAATACAATGTTCCACGTAAATAGGTTAAATAAAAATTACTTAGTTCAAAATAATATCATAAAATATACTTAGTTACATCATAGGCTGATTCTTCGCTTAGAATCGTTTTTCTTATGCAATGATATTATACTATTGAATTCAAATTTAACACAATCCATTACAGTGACCCACTTGTAGCCTACTATGCAGCAGAGCTACATCCACTTGCCCTCCATTTTTATCTTTGAATCCATTTCACAATAATATGTATAAGCATAATTACTATGGTAAAAAAAAGAGTATCGATTAATATTCAACTATTAAATAAATATATATAATGTTATATACATAATACATGTTTATGATACAACATGATAATGTGTATATTAAATGATCTCGTTTGTGATTCATTTTCTTTTAACATCGGCACACGTCCTTAGAGATATAATTATTCGTATAATATTTATCATAGATAAAGTTTGTTATATATAACAATATAACATGTATATAATAAACTTTATATATTGTGTTATTTAATGCGCTAATTAATAACTATACATTGGTTGTAATTGCTACTATCTGTGATATGATGTTATCACATATTATGTTATGATGCTTTGATACTGTCAAAACATTTTTTCGTAAACGTATAATACATGAAATATCTATGTAGTACTAGCTCATCCCATGTACTTCGTTACCCGTTGAATGCACTAAATTTATATGACTCAAACTTTGTTCAATTCGTTATTTAATATTCAGTGTATGGTGTTCAAAATTTATCTTAACTTTTCCGTTGCCCGGAATAATAATAATAATTCTGATTCCCAGCAGTATATTATCAGGTATGAAGTCTACCTGCGTTAGATCGAGTACCCCGTGATGTTTGTACTTAAGTGTATGATTTAACTCTAAAGTATCAAAGTTATACCAAGTTTGTTGTATTCCACCTATACCAAATTTAAACATTTTTGAATTAGCCTGTCTTCTGCCAAGAGGTATAATCTACACACAAACATTCATTTATTTAAATATATATATATATTGATAAAAAACAAAATTTAAATCAAAAAACATGCCCGATTAAAAAATAGCAACCAATATAAATTATAATACACTTTTGCGCCAATGTTGTATTTTTTTCATAAAGATTTCCTACTTTTCAAGTTAATTTTCCTAAAATTTTCTTTCGTATAAATTTTCTCCTAGCAATTACGAAAATTTTAAAAAAAAAATATGAGCCAAATCGGAACAGCCGTTCTCGAGTAAAAAATAAATATAAAACAATAACAATAATACAAATCAATAAACATGCTCGATTAACCAATAGCAACCAATATACAATACACTATTATTATTTTAATCTGAAAAATTTTTTATTATTTAATTAATTTTTTTATGGATAGATGGCGCAACAATTGTATTTTTTTACATTCAAATTTTCTACTTTTCCGGTGGACTTTCCTAAAATTGTTTTCTTTCCAATCTTTTCCAGTCAATTACGAACATCTTAAAAAAAATTTGAGCCAAATCTTTCCTGCTGTTCTCGAGTTTTAGCGAGACAAACTAACAGCAATTCATTTATATATATATAGATGTATTAATCGTTATATTATATTATATCCTGTTTTATAATAACAATATTGAAATTAATATTTTTATCTATTAGTTTGAATTGTAAAAGTATGAAAATATTTTATATTACACTTCTTTATAAAACTAAAGAATTTCTAATATTTTTTTGTTGTATACATCTCCGAGTAACTCACCACTTTCCACATCTAACTGGGTAGGTACACCCTTGTTTATTGACATGGTATATACATTTGTCTAATCAGCATAATGTCCTCTTTGCCCACATCTCTACAAATTCATTATTCTGTTTGAATACCTCCTTTAATTATCTCTACTATTCGTTATTTTAAATCTCTCTTATCGGTAATATAACATATAGGTACATCATTATCTTTGCTAATCTGAGTCCTTAAATTTTGATTATAATAATAATTTTAAACCTTATACAGTTATACCTATCAATTCTCTTTCTCTAATTAAGTTCAAACGTCTGTCATATCTAGTTTCCCTTTTGTAATAATATCTATCCTTGATAATTATTTGTCTCCAGAACGTCTAGTAAAATAATCTTTCGAGTCTAGTTTGTGTAACATCTGTCTTAACATTTAACTCTACTAGGGTGTTGTGGAGAAGGAATTATATCTCAGTATTCATGTTCCTCGTCATAATGGTCTCTACTTCTCTACAACTTGTTCTCTGTCTTCGTCATAGTTATAATTTTTATTACATCGTTTTTAATTTTTGTCGTTATGAAAATATATGGATTTATTTTTACATTTTCCTACTATGTGTAATAATCTTCACTTAACTGATTTATTTCTCTTATATATATTTTGTATATCTGTACTTTGGCTTTTAATCTGTGTTTAATAATTGCCTTTTTAATTATTTGATGGCTTTGCCTTTTCTTGTTGATTTTTCGTTTAATTGAAATAATTATTTGCTTATGGTTTTGGTACCTGTATAATTAAATAATAGTTCTTATCTGAATTAATAATTAGTTCTAATTTATTCCAATTTGTCTTCAATTATTTTAAGCTTCTTTTATTATACAACGAAATAATAATACTTACACTTGTTTCTTCTGATTCCTTTTAAATATATTTACAAATATCATATTTTTCCATATTTCTATTTAATTTCCATCATAAATTTTATATTTCTGTTATAGAACTCATTGCATAATATTCTATTTTACATTGATATATTCTTTACAATTATGTTTTCAAAATTATACTGTAACCAATTCATTGAAACTCGTGAATACATTTTTAAATAATATAAGACAACGTCTAATCAATCTCCATATATTATTTATTTGGATCATTCCATTACATATTTTCTGCTACATTCTTGTACTCAATAAAATATTTTCGTACATTCTCTTCTACGGAAAAAGCTTCTTGTTTTATCATTAAATTGTTCATATAGGTACCACCTGATGATGGTTTATCATTTAACTATAATTATTTTAAGTTTCAAGAGAGTTTTTTAACTCTCCAACTGATTTATTTAATGGGTTTGGTTATTATTGAAATTAAGGAATTTCTTAAAGTGATTAACTTCTTGAGCAGTCAATATTCATTAAAAATTATCTTTGTGCAGTGTATTTTGATAAAATATCTGGTTCAACTTCAAAAGTAATTGTATTTAGTTATTATTTTGTTTGCACTATTGTCGATAGTCGCTTGAATACCATTGTACTGATCTAATAATAATTTATACCAATGTGGTCTTAACCATGGTACGCTAAGTCTTTTTTTATGGTTCTCCCAAATATATCGTATACTGATAAAATCTGACCAAAATTTAAAAATAATAATATTAGTATATACGATGTGCATCATGGTCGGATCTATAATATACTATAAACATTATACAACATGTATACAATTAATTAGTCGCAATCGTGTAGTAATAAGAATAATAATAATCTGTAATGAATTTGCATTGATTAATTTTTTTTTGAAATGTTAGTTTTTGGTATAGGTACTATGTTTACTAATATTGAATGCATACATATTACAGCTCACCAAAAAAGGTTTGAGTACTTTAATATGGAAAAATTGTACCTTATCATTTTTATCTTGGTCGGAATATGACCTTCAAAAACTTATATTTAATTCTTACTTTAGTTTTGAATGTATATTATTAGACATTTTTTTTTTGCACAACAAAAATTTGATTCATTTCTGCCAGAGTTAAATTGTATATAAAATAAAAACAAACTTGTGGTAACAATGAAATCATTGGTGTTTGGTGCATTGGTGCACCTAAATCACCTATCCAGAACGCCGTGTTATCAATATCATAATTTAAGTATTAAAATACAATATGATTGGTTTCCATTATTTTACATATTATATAGGCACGAATACAATTATTTTGTTACTTTAAATATTTGTATTGATGAATATTACAAGACAGTGAGATACCAAGAGTGCCTGATGTCTTCACCGTCGCGTCAGTTCTGCAATCATATTTTTACGATAGAAATATACCTATCTAAATAAGTCAACGAAATTCGTTTGAAAGCTAAAAAGAAAGAGAGCCTGTTATATTATTTGTATTAAATAATTCAAAGTTAATGATATATAATAAAAGACCATGATTTATTACATATTTTCCATAATAATTGTATTGTATATTGTACAATAAATTATCATTTTAAAAAAATAATACAGTTAAAGATAAAATTGATTATTTTAGTAAAAAATAATATAAATAAGAGTGCCTTTTTTACCTAAACTACATAACATTTTATGACTATGTAAATATAATTAAAATAAAAAAATATATTATACCTATTTAGTATTTACATAATATTTGTTTTCGTATTTACAGTTGTATAATTATATTACGGCAAGTCGGAAAAGTGAACTGACTGAACTCGTTTTGTATGAAGCCAAGTATGGTTTTGGCCATCAGTTTATATGTCGGGATAATGAAATCGAAAAAAAAATTGAGTGAGTATCGTTTGAAACTACCTTGATTTAAAACAATTATTCATAAATCTGTTATAGTATTTTATAATAATTAAGAGACATTTTATAGACCTTTACACAAAAAATTATTTATTCGAATTTTGGATAGCCTAGCTGTATAATTTAAGTGTATTCAATCATTTAAATAAAATAAGAAATCTTAGTAATCAAACAGTTGGGTGCTCATAATCGATATTATTGATGGGTTGGTATGGTCTGTAATTTGTACAGAATAAACTTCATTTAAAAACTAAGTATGTATTAAAGTTATATGATTTGTTTTTGAATCATAAAATATTTCTATGAACAATGATTATTTTTATTGCAAGAGGTCTATTTAGATAGTTTTCTTTATGCGTCAATAATGTATTATTATTAAAAACAAATTATAACTGCAAAATCAAATAACCCACATACAATACATATACAAATTATTATAATATTTAATGGTATTTTTATAATAAACATTGTTAACGGATTTGGTTCAACCCGAATGTATTTTCAGTTTAAATTCGTGGGTTATGATAATATATGGGTCTTGGGTGTAGTTTCTGTTTTCTAAATGTTGTTGTGGGTGTTAGGGTCCCAGTCGATTCGGGCATAAACCCTTGGTATTTTATCTTTTTGGAATTCAACATGTACTTTAATGTTTTATAATTTTCAGGAAATTTATACAGAAATGTCTAAAAATGACGTCTTGATCGGTGGAAATAAATAAGCTCGTCAACATTGCCATCGTATAACACGTATACATAGTTATTACAATATAATAATATATAGTATATTACTATACGTTATAGTACAAACGTCTCAGTTTTGTATCGGATTATTGAGATCATGAGATTACTTATTATCTTTTTTGTAAATTGTATCGTTGTTAAATATTATTTATTGTAAAATATTTCAACAACGTACTTTTTAAGAACATTACTTTAACTATCATCCCATACATTATGTTATACTCATTATAGTCAATAGTTATATTATCATAGTTGTTTTGTTCTTAAAAATATATTGTGTTGAATACATTGTTAAGGTAATACTTAAAAAAAATGCAAAAGAAAATGTTAATGTATTTGTGTATTTTATCCCTAGCGTCATATTATAACAAAAAAAAATAACAAATACTTTGTATTACTCTTAGAAATCAGACGTGAATATTATAAAACAATAATATAGCTATTACTACGTTACAATTTTAATTGAGCCCATCAAGTGACGATATGTTGTACCTGGTGACTTTATAAGTAATAATAATAATAACAATAATAATAATAACATGTAATCATTATTATTATTATTATTATTGATACTGTTAAGAAGTTTACTATAAAATGTCTACAACTTGTTTTATATAAAATAAAATATTGTAGGTATTGCAATTTCTGATAACTTCTACACACAATTTTAAACAATATAGTACTAAGTATAGAAGTCCAAACTTGGTATTGAGAAATCGAATGTCAATAATTAATCTGGGATGGTGCCAATCAAACGACGCTCTTCCTTTAATCTCCTGTATTGCTATATAGTACAATATTAATTGGTCTGAGTTTGCGGACGGTATACATAATCTTGCTTGGTTATTTGACTTCGTTTGATATGATTGTACATATTAATTAATACTTAAAAAATGACTCCACCTCTCTATTTTACTTATTATTCCATGATATCTATTTTTTTCTTTTATGGTTTTCCTAAACTATACTCTATCTCTTTCATATACGTATATGTGTAATATATTTGAACTCTTTCTAACAATGTTGGTCTCACGATGACATATGCGGGGTGTGTGGGAGGCTCACTTCATTATTTAATATGTCTATGCATTTAACACGCCGGCCATAAGCGATCATTTCTATAAGATTAAAACTAACTTAGAAGATAATAGAATGCTGCCAATCACCTCAATAGTCTATCAGAAACAAGTAAATTTCCATATTGTATTCAGATTCCGAATATAGAAGCATAAAAACATGAATATATACTACTATGTACTATGTACTATGTACTTATGTACTATCAAAAGACATGACTGCGTTGGCAAGATAACTATAGAATATCTTAAAATAGACGAACCGATTGCAGTGAAAAAATCGATTCTTGCCACCAAACTGAACACCCCGGGATTTTTTTTGAACAACAGAAAGGCTTTTTATTATAACGATCAATGATCTTTAACAATACATTTAAGATTTGTACATAAATATTAAATATTAATAAATTAATGAATAAATATTTAGTAAATATTTACAAAAAAAAAAATAATAATTGGGTTATCACTCCCAGTCTAATAATTTATACCAAGTCATATTATTATGGTCTTCGGCGTTTAAGATGCCTAATGTCTTGAGAGTTATCATATAGTTGAATTTCTGCTGGATTATTGTGTTCATCTAGTCTTTCCTCGTGTTTTCTGGCAAGCTTAGTAATCTCGTCCTGGACGGAGGTCATCAGAAAATCTCGGTGGATAATGTCATTTCTATCGTACAGGTATGCTGCCACAATTGCAGAAAGTAAAGACAAAGACTAAACGCCAACAGTCTGCTTAGGCTCGGAAACATAACTAACCATCCAGTAGGCCAACCAATTTGATATTAAAATAGTGTTGTGACTCTCACTTATCATGTTGGTTGGTGACTGTGAAACTATGATTGTTTCCTTTGTCATACACTACCGCTTCATATCAGAAAAGGGTCTTTGTTTCTTCAAGTAAAAACTTTATAAAATTCTTTAAAACCGATCCAGTTGCATCTGTGGATGTATAACATATTTAGAATATTCTCGATATATATGGATTTTCTTATGATTGTAAAAATGAATAAAAAACATCAAACATTTCGAATATCTTTATATTCGTTTTCTTTTTTCATAAGAGCAATAGCAGTAAGAGGATCATTATTTTTACATGATTTGAATAAACGTAAAGCATTTCCTGTAGGAATAATTGATGGATTGTTTCCTCCTAAAAAGTAAATATGAAATATTTTAAATGCAATTCTAAACGTAAAATAACAAAAAAAAATATATATAACTGAAACATATAAAACAGCTGAAATTATTTATTTTAGTGGAAACTTCAAATTTAGCGAGTTTATTTTATTCTTAAGTTATATTCATATATTCATTACTTCACCAGTACCTATAACTAATGATTTCGATTATTGTTAGTTGTAAATATTTAAAAATCAAAACATAACAGTAGCCTACAAAATGTACAAAAGTGCACCACAAGTATAAACTCACTAATAATAATATAATAATACAACAATTCTGTAAGCCTTATTACTTGGTAAAGTGTTGGAAATATATTATATAATTATGTATAATAAATCTATAGTATTTCAGACATGATGAAATAAAACTTTTTTGATTCAATTTAGATATTAATTGTTGTATCAAATATGCATATTTTTAATTATATATAGATTTTTTTTTGAAATATAGATAAATATTTTGAATTAAATACATTTTTAATTTTAATTTAGATTTAATTTTTTTTATAGAGTTCAATCAAAATTTTTTTATTGAATATAGATTTTTTTACCAAATATAGATTTTTTTATTAAATAATTTAAAAAATCGCCAAATCTATAATTTCAATTCACATTTTCTAAAAATCAATTTTCGTGTCTTCAAAATTTATTTGCTAAATAATAACGAACAATTTTTTTAGAGTTACAACAGAAACTAATGGTAATATTTAATTGTGACTTTCTAGCTTCCAATAATAGTTCTTTGTTATTAAGTTGTAATAATTTATAATTTGCCTACATTAAGGAGCATTCTTGGTGGAGTTCATAAAGACCCCAGGACTGAGCAGATCCACTGCAAGTGTAGGACACGTGGAAAGTATACGTACTAGCTGACCCACTTACAGAACTATTGTACTCCTAACCCTCTCCGTCTATATTAGTCGTACTTATACTCCACCTCTACACGCCAACCCTTAGCCGATCATCGTCCATCTCCATCACCGGTCCGCCGTCGATCATCGTCCGCCGCTATCACTTCTCCGAACAATGAGAACCAGGAGAAAGTAGGTGCATATAATAAGTATGGAATACGAAAAGTATCAGTGCTTTTGACCAGGTTATAGACTTACTATACTCTTGTCTGTCTATCGTGAGATAGTTTTATACCACCGCCGTGCAACTGCCCTATATAATCTTCGCTGCAGTGCTGCCGTCGTTTGCCCTGCTGCCGCCCTTGTGCAACCACTTTTTGAGCTATCACCGTCAATCAACAATTACCGCTAATTGCCCCGTGTCCGTCATTCGACCACACCGCAGTCGAGCTGTAATCGTTTGTACTATCAATGTCTGTGCAACTGCCATGCAATGCAGCCACACCTACATTGTAAGACGGAGACAACACATACGGGCCCGACGTTTCTTCAGAAATGGCGCACATTACATTATTGGTACTCCCATAAATATTATTAAATCCCTTTACACGTTTTCTATTGCACTTATAATATCAACAGTCTTGTTAATAATACTTTTCAAATGTATTCAGAATACTTACTTAAATACTTGAACTAGTTTGTATTTAAAATATGTACCTATTCAAATACCTTCTTTTAGAAGTATTTAAATATGAATACAAATACTATTTTTTAAAGTACAATAACATTAATACAAATACCTTATATTAAAATTATTAAATACTACAACCCATCAGACAAGAGATACAATAATAGTTTTTATTTTAAAATTGTATGATGTTTATTACGATTAAGATTAAAATAAGAAGAAAGACTTTTTAAAATCCTATCGAACTAGCGGTGGTCAGTGTCACTTAATATGTCATGGTATATAGGAGTGAAAAGCCGACGGGGGTTTTAGGGTTCAGTCATTGTTTTGTCTTCTTGTATTTTGGCGAAATAATTTGTAACTGATACCCTTAATTTTTGTAGAACCGAACCGGAACAGTTATTTTATATTTGGAGAACCAGTACCGGAACCGATACCGATTCACTCGAAAGGTTCCAGTCCCTGGTTAGTCCATATAAAAAACATAATGAATATAATATTTAAACATTAGACACCGGTCCTCGTGACATCTCATAGGAAAAATTCTGTGTAATTCGTGGAAATATAATTAAATCAAGTATTCAATTAGTTTTTCTCGTTAATTACAATGAAATTTACGGTAGACATCTTAATATTGTCAAAACACAAAATCCAAATGGAGCATTATATTCCCCTTAGACATTATAATATTATATTATTTTTCCTCTTAATTATTTTTTATTTTTAATACGCGATACCCGAAACTGCGATGAGTGATATTATAGGAATTCCCATTACATTTTCGTTACCTACTTGATAACAATTCTAAAAAAATAACTTGATGCGTTACAAACAAAGTGACGTCGTTACACTTTCGTTTCGTTAGTAAACAACAATGCATGACATTACGTATAAATATTAGATCTAAGAATATTCTGGTCTATGGTACCCAGTTATTAATTATGCAATTACACGTAATTACAAATAATAATATAATATGATTATTTGCAGTTATAGGTATTGCACATTTACACCAATGACCAACGGTACATAGATTATGACTAAACCTCATTTTGTTTTAAATTGTATTAAGTAGGTATTAAACATTTGTGAACGTTACACTCAAATAATGACAATACACACATTGGAATATTCACTCTGATAGATTTATTCAATAATATTTATCA